TGCCCTGGATTTCCTAGGGAGTTTTAGAGGAGTCAGTGTTGCAGGATCTGGGCAACATTTTGCAAAGCACTGAGAGGCCCTGGGGACATGAAGTGTGATAGAAGGGAGCTGTGCTTTGATTCCAGAAAGAGGAATTGAAACGGCGGGTGATCTGGGAAAGGACTATTATACTGCATAACCTGGAGTAGGCCCTGGGGCTGCATTCCTGTACCAGGGGCTTGAACCACGTCAGACCTTGTAAGTTTAAAAATGATCACTACAGACAAGCGTCACGTTTTTTACTTTTTTTAAAAAAATGATCCTCTATTTCTTTGGGGTTGACTAAAGAATGGGGCAGATTAAGCTCCAATGAATGAAACGTCAGAATGAGCCCTGGAGAGGTAGCCCCTCAACGCAAAGCACAGCACCCCTGGGCCTCCTCCAGCTGCCACCTGTCCCGGCCTGGCTCCCCAGAGCTGAGCAAATCTTTGGTCTACTTTAGGGTCAGGGGTGCAGGTGGGAAATCTGCCACCAGGGAAGGCAGTCTTGCAGGTACTGCACCCTAGCCAACCCCCTGCTGGTGTGACTCCCCTTCTGTATCAAATCGCACCCTCCAACCAGCATGACCGTTCCCGTACAGGGCATGTGAGGTCAAAAATGTGGGAATCCCCTTCCCACTTCTCTACTCTGCCATGCCCCCCCCCGGCCCCCGCCTTGCCCCCTTGAGGAATGTAGAGCATGGAGTAACCCAGTGCCTGGGCTGCTAGGCTCTTGCTGATTACAGAAGTAGCTCCTTAAAGTGAAATTGCAGGGGTTTGTTCTGCGGATCCCGTTGGCACTTAGGAGTCAGTTCCTAAAGTCAGGGGTGGCTTAAAAGTCCTGGGATTTGATAATTTCCGTTTGGGGGGCTCTCTTGATTTGCCTCTGGATTTTGCACCTTTAAGGGTTTTGTTTTCCTGAAGTTCCCCACAGCCATACAAGAGATGGAAACTTAAAAAAAATATATATATATATATATAATAGAAAAAAAATCTTTAAAAAAAGACAATCTTTGTAAAAGCACACCAAAAGAGTAAAAATACATTTTTCAGCTACCAGTTTAGGAGAATGATTGGCTGGCTAAGTACGAATCAAGGTAGTTGCTAATGGTTAGCTAGCCATACTGCATGGGCTACCCACCCCATCACTCCCAGCATTGAGGCATGCAGTTGCTCGTATTTTACTCTGCATAAAGGAAACCACCATATCCGTAAACAAGGGTTGAACCTGCATCACACGGTTTGTATCTGAATTTCCCCAATGTTGGGGGCAAGTCTGTACACTGGCGGGGGCAGCGGTCTGACAGGTTGTGTCTCTGTGTTCTTTTAACTAAACCCTCAAAGTGGTTGGACACAGATTTCCTCGCCATCCTGACTGGAATTCCATCTAGTGGCCACACCCGGGCTGCAAGGTGCCCCCTCAGGGCCAACGCAGGATGTGTGTGGAGGGATGAAAGGTCACATGCCTCCCCACATGCCGTAGCAGGGGGGAGAGGGAAGGGGCCTGATGAAGTGAGTTTTACCCACAAAAGCTCATGATTCTATATGTTTCTTTCTAAGGTGCCACGGGGCGGCTCATCGCTTTTAAAGTTCCAGACTAACACGGCCACCTCTCCGAGATTTTTGGACTTGCTGTAATCTAACTGCTCGGTGTGAGATATCTACAATCATTCATCATTTCAGCTGAGTGCTAAGGATTGTCACTGTAGCTGTCTCAAAATGCAATGGAGTGAAAGTCCTGCCATGTGAATAAAGTTAGTTCAACCTGTTGGTGGACCGGTATTAGTGCAGAAGCCACCTCAGAGGTGGAGAAGCTAAGTAGGTGCATGAACACATCCCCAGCCATGTGTATCCATTTTGCAGGTCACAAAGCAGCCATTAGCAACTTGGGAGAGCAAGCAAACTGTGGACGTTCTTTGCAGGGGGGAACAGGTTTTCCATGGCTACACAAAATGGGGTTAGTATCTTGCATTGCTGCTGGTGTAAGTCCTACACGAGGACATTAGCACGCCAGCAACCAGAACTGAGCAGAGATCACCTTGTGGCACGGAGAAAGGCAGCCACAGAACCAAGTGCTGCTGCTGTTATGAAATGTTATCGGCCGAGCAGGGTCTGCCTTTGCCCCAAAGGCTGTAAATTGAGCTGCAGGTGGGGGAATGAGCAAGGGTGTGTGGAAAGGGAGAACCTGGAATCCCCAACACCAGTTACAAGTGCAAGCGCTGCAAGGCAATCGGGGGAGCTCAGGGAGTTGCATACGCTGCCTTGCTTTGCTCCACAGACCGTGCAGGAGTCCGGCTTCTGGGTCTGACCTACTTTGCCATGTGATTTGCAGACACCTGCGGGGGACAGTATGGGAGTGACCTCCCCCATCTCTCCAGCACACGCAGTGCTGTCTCTTCTCTCCAATTCAGCAGTGAGGTTGCTCTGAGTGGCCGGAGCTAATCCCATCTGTAAGCAATGCATGCAGTAGACATTGCGCACCCCCACCCGAAAGGAACAAATACATTCAACTGAGAGGCTTAGTCTCTGTTCAGCGGGGCCAGGTCTGGGACACTTAGCGAGCAACAGACATGCAGAGCCACACTGACCGCAGTTGAAACGAACTTTTAGGCCCCTAAGCTGCAAAATCTCACCCATGAGGGTGGAGCTCCAGAGGACACAGGGGTCTGGTCAGATCTACTGACTGGACACTCAGGCCACGGCTACACTGCTGGTTTTTTTGCAGAAGAGGATATGCAAATTGCATTCTCATTTGCGTATCTTCTTCCGATTCTTTTTGCAGAAAAGGTTTTTGCAGATAAAAAGCCCTGTGTAGATGGGGCCATTTGTCGGGGAAAAAAACCCCTTTTTCGCAAGATCCTGTAAACCTCGATTTTTAAGGAATAAGGGATCTTTCAAAAAAGGAGGTTCCCCCCCCCCCAAGAAATAGCTCAGTCTACCTGGGTCTTTTTATCTGCAAAACCTCTTCTGCAAAAAGAGTGGGAAGACGACATGCAAATGAGAGTGCAATTTGCATGTCCTCTTCCACAAAAAATGGTAGTGTAGCCGTAGCCTCGAAGTCGAGTTACTGGGAGTGAGGTGAGGTGGGGAGGGGCTGGATCATCACTTGTATCAGCTCCTACTCAGCATGGGCTCCTCCTAGCTTCATAGGGTGGCTCCAATGAAGTTGGTGACACTTCACTGACTTGGGGGCGTTGAGATGGGAGGAGGAAAGCAGAGAATGATAGAGAGTGGGGAGGAGTGGCTGGGGCGGGGCTTAAGTGTAGGGGGCGGGGCAGAGGTGGAACTTTGAGGGGAATAGATACACAGGGGTTCTAGCACTTGGGGCGGGGCAGGCCAACCCTAGTGAAGCACCTCGAGCTGGCAGTGGGGTCAAGGGCTGGGGGGGGGGAGGGTTTGGAGCCGGGGGGCACTTTCCTGGGCCCGTGGTCGGCAGTATGGTAAGCCCCGTCCTCAGCTGGCCACTCTCTTCTGGTCCGGCTGCCCCCAGTGGTGACTGCAGTATCACGTCCCTCCAGTCAGCCCTCTGCTTTTCCATGGTATGGAAAACAATCACATTCCAGACACATCCCATTTTCCTGCCTTAACCAAACCTTGACTTTGCCTTCAGTAAGGAGAAGAGGAAGCTGCCTACCAAATTTAGTGGCCCTAGCTCTGACTGTTTAGGAGGAGTTCTTGAACAAATGAACTCACGGACATTCAGGTGGACTTGCAGACAGACACCTCTAAAATAGAGAGTAAGATGAGAGTCGAAACAGAATGTTCTGAAAATCTCCTGTTGAAAATTTCATCAAAATTGTCATATTCCCACTAAAGGTTTCGATTTCAACCAAACGAGCTTTTCTAGTGGAAAATTGCTCCGCGAAGGATATTTCAGCTGCCTCTAACCACGTGGCAGCTACCACTGCACCACCCTAATGCAGCACACAGCAGAGGAGGAAAACGACACCCTGTTCTTACTAGGGATGTAAATATTGATCAAAATAGTTAGCCAGTTAAATGATTAAAATTATATACCCAGGAGCCAGGGCAGCTAGGGTTCGGGATCTGGGGCCACAGCACAGCCAGGACCGCCAGGGTCACAGGACGGAGCCAGGGCCACAGAAGTCAAGGCCATGACATGTCTGGAGTCGCCAGGGCCACAGGACCCAGGGAGGCTGGAGCTGTAGGACCTAGGGCCGTGGTGTGGCCAGGAGCCAGGCCTGATGGGTCCATGGAGCGGCTGGGAGGGCTTATGGATCTGTGGTGGTTGGGAGCTGAGGCCATGGGAGCTGGGGCTGATGGGTCTGGGGCCGGGAGGGCCGGAGTTGCTGACGCCGCTCCAGGAGTGAGGCTGCCAGGGCTGAGATATGCGGCTCCTGCAGCACGGCCAGTCCCGCCTGCCACCCTGACCTTGTCAGGTTCCTGCCAGTTGGACCCAAGGAAGCATTCTGGTAAGCTGGTCAACCTTTCACATCCCTAGTTCTTACCCAGCCTGCCGCTGGCATTCTAGGTCTCATCAGTCTATGCAAAGTGCCACTCTCCATATGCTAATGTGCCCCGAGAGGGTATTTCTGCTCGGCCCCCTGCTCTCCGGACATTGCCTGGGTGCCTCTGAAAGTCCCACTCAGTGCTGGGTGCTCAGACGCCCACCTGCCAATGTAGCAAGCCCTGGGCTGGGACTCCTGGGACTGGGTTCTAGTCCCTGCGTTACCGCTGCCCTGCTGTGTGACCCTGGGCAAATCGTGTCCCTGCTCTGTGCCTCAGTTTCCCCTTTGTCTGTCTTGTCTATTTAGTGTGTGAGCTCAGGGGGGCAGGCGCTGTCTTTCCCTCTGTGTGCGTCACAGGGCCTGGATCTCAGCCAGGCTCCCAGTGGCTGGTGGCACCAGTCTGAGCTTTGGAAAATGGTGACCCTGCTAGTTTATTTTTAAACTCTCCACCTCGTGTGCTGTCGGGTCCAGGAAGGGAAGGAAAAATACGCAGTTTCAGTGTTCTGGGGCGGGGGACTGCAAATCACTCTGCAGCCTTAGTGAACATCCCTCTTTTGATACAGTCACAGTAAAAACGAAACCAGAGGTTCTGCCATTTCCTCATTTGCAGACTCATGTGACAAGCCTAGCAAAGCAAACCCAAGTCTCTCCTCGCAGGCAGAGCAGGACGGGCATTAGGGCACAATAGAATTAGGGGAATTCTTGCTGCTTGCTGATCACTTCAGGACTCCTGCCTAGAACTCTCCACCGGGCGAACCCCCATCAGGTATGTTTGGCTTTTACTTTTCCCCTTGTGCTTTAAATCTTGTCGTGTTTGAAACGTGCTTGAGGAAGTAAAACCAAAAAATGGCGTTTTGCTTGTAAAGAGTTTGCATCCCTTCTACCTAGTTTAATATAGCCTCTCTGTCTCCCTAGCCTCATTCATCTCCCTGACTAGGCTGCAGTGTTCCAAGGGACCTAGGGGAGTTAGGTGAAAGTCAATGGGATTCGGGTGCTTATTTCCCTTGAACATCGCTTGGGTTCCTTTGAAAATCCAAGTCCTCTTCACCTAAATCTCTCTGGGCCAAATCCTCAGCTAGTGTAAACCAGCTTTGCTCCAGGGACTACAATGGAGTGACACCTGTTTACACGTGGTAGGGATCAACCTCATTGACCTTAGTGAAGCTACCTGAGCTCCCATCTGAGCAGGGAATATCTCTGGCTTTCCAGTTCTATCCCTCACCGTATCGCCTCACACCAGGCTGTGATGCCCTTGTCCAGGCCCATGATCCAGTCCAGGCATTGTAGAAGTAGCCAGGTGATATTAGCCATGGACCCAGCTCGGCTTTCAAGTCTGTGGTCCTTTGGAGTTCCAGGGAAGACCCTGCCCCCTCATCCCTAAAAGGTACAAGACACGGAATGGCTGAGTGTGGGCACCCCTGCAGGATCAGGGTTTGCTCGACACTTTGCTCATGACAGAGAGAAGGGAGAAATCTCAGCAACCCAGCATCTGATCTTTTGCACCATCACTGAGAGGCGGAAATTGACACATTGACTCAACCATGCAGATTTTATCTTTTACCAGTGCGCTCTCGTTTTCCCCTCGCTGAGCAGAATGAAGCTGTTGGCTTGGATCCTGGCCTCTCTTGCGGTTGCTACTGCACATCTACACACAGACCCGACGCTCGATAACCACTGGGAGCTCTGGAAGAAAGTCCACGGCAAGCAATACAACCACAAGGTGGTATCTGGGTAGCTGTGGGTTTAAGGTGTGTGGGCGGGGGAGGATTTCCATGGCCATTCCCCCTCAGGTGAGCTGGGATCCAGCATGGTAGCCCCATGCCAGCTCTCACTGAGAATACTGCCTCTCCCCTCCATCTTGCCTAAACCATCCCAGGAGGTAGCTTGTTTTTCAAAGTGTGTTCTAATTTAGGATCTATTAGAGCCCGGTGAGATTTCTCACACCACTCATTCCTTTGGGCTGAAAAATGAAGATTCAGATTGATGGAAACAATTGGGGAATTTGGCTCAATTTTAGCAAATTGCTTTGGTTGAATAAAAAAAGAGATGGAAAATTGGAAATGCCTCATTTCAATGTGCAAAAAATCATAATTTTTACTCTTATTTTTGGAAAACTGTTTCCTGTTGGAGTTTCCCCCACTTCTATTTAAAAACAAAAGCTTTGAAAAGCCCCAAATGAAACAAAACATTTGATTCAAATTTTAAAATGGGTAACTGATTTTTAATACATTTCCTAGGTTTGGCCACCAAACTGACAAATCAGTTGTTTGCATAGCTGTGGGCTGCATTGTGCATGTTTGATTCTGGATATTGTGTTGCAACCTAATTGTATGTGCCGCTCCTTAATTACTCGGGCTTAGTTGAAGGTCCCAACTTGGGGCCACAGCACTTGCCTATTAAATTATAAAGTGTTATCACCAATGTGCACTCCAATCTTTTCCACCAAGGTGTGGATTTTGTTCCTATCCAAGTGTGGAATAATTGTATGTGCACCAAGGTACGTGCAAATGAGCACCACAAGTAGAATAAAAACCTAGCGGGGGGTGCTTTTGTTAATCAGCTGGGGAGCATTTGAATCTCTCCTGAGCATCACGCTCTTGGCTCTGCCATTTCTGGCGGTGAAGAGCTAGGCCAGGTAACCTAGCTAGGCTAGGTTAGCTCCTTTGGAGTTACATTTGCCTTGCTATAACTCCCACTGTTGGTTTCACTGGATACAGTGGGATTCTTCTCTTCTTCTCCTAACCTGTTGTATACTGTTGCTGTGCCTCACTCCAGAGCTGGCTGCATTTTAGGGTGGGGAAGAACTCAGTCCTGCCCTGGATTTCCTAGGCAGTTTTGCTTGAGTCAATGTTGCTTTGATTCCAGAAAGAGGACGTGGAACGGCGTTTGATCTGGGAAAAGAACCTCAAGCTTGTTATGCTACATAACCTGGAGTACTCCCTGGGGCTGCATTCCTATGACCTGGGCATGAACCACCTGGCAGACATGGTAAGTTTAAAAAATATCACTACAGACCAATGGACTGAGCACCTGGGAATTATCTGCATTTCCCTGAGGCTGACTAAAGAATGTAAAGGAACAAGGGGCAGATTAAGTTTAAGATTAAGCAGTGAATGAAATATCTGCAGAGGTAGCCCCACAACACAAACCACGACACCCCTGGGCCTCCTCCAGCTGCCACCTGTCCCGGCCCCGCTCCCTAGAGCGGCGCAAATCTTTGTTCTACTTGCCTGGATCAGGGGTGCGTGTGGGAAATCTGCCACCAGGAAGGTCAGTCCTGCAGGTATTCGGATGCTTGCCAGCCGCTTGCTGGTGTGATTGCCGTGTTTCTGTGTTAAGTGGCCCCTCCAACCAGCATGACCCTGCGTGTACAGGGCAGTGTGGGAATCCCATTTCCGCTTCTCTACCTCTTCCGCGCCACCCTCCCTTATCCCCATGTGAGGAATGTAGAGAGTGGAGTAACCCACAGCCTGGGCTGCTAGGCCCTTGCTGGTTATGGAAGTAGCTCCTTTCAGTGAAATTGCAGGGCTTGTTCTGTGAATTCCATCAGCACTCTGGAATCAGGCCGGAAAGTCATGGGTGGCTTTAAAATCCTGGGATTTGATAAACAGGCTACGTCTACACTGGCGGCTTCTTGTGCAAGAACAGCTATTCTTGCACAAAAAATTGCCGGGTGTCTACACTGCACGCGCGTTCTTGCACAAGTAAATTTACAGTCTAGCGTTGGAAAACAGGGCTTCTTCCGGAAGAGTTATTCCTCTCCCTACGAGGAATAAGCCCTGTTGTGCAAGAGCTCTTGCGCAAGAGGGCAGTGTAGACAGGCAACATGAATTTCTTGCACAAGAAACCCCTATGGCTAAAATGGCCATCAGAGTTTTCTTGTGTGAGACAACGTCCACACTGCCATAGACGCTCTTGCGCAAAAGCACGTCTCTTGTGCAAAAGCACATGCCAGTGTAGACACGCTTTTGTGGAAGACTTTTTGCGCAAGAACTTTTCCGCAAAACAGTTCTTGCGCAAGAAGCTGCCAGTGTAGATGTAGCCTCGATGTTTGGGGGCTCTTTTTATTTGCCTCTGGATTTTGCACCTTTAAGGGTTTTTTTTCCTGAAGCTCCCCACAGCCATACAAGAGAAGGAAACTTGAAAAAAAAAAAAAGCAGAAATTCTCGTTAGTCTTAAGATCCCTTCCCGTATGCATTGTTGTTTCAAGAGGCTTGGCAGTGCTGAGGCTCCTGGGTAGAGCCATGTGAAGAAGCGATTTTTTTGGTTTGGTGCCTGAAAAAATCCATCAATCCACCAAAAATAGTTTCAGGTGGATCTGAAATGGCAATGGTGAAATGCAAAAGACGAAAACAATTCATGTAGGCTCGGACAACACATTTCTTTCTGTTTTCTAGGTTATTTTGCCTTTCAAAAAAGAAAGAAAATGAAAGTAAAGTTTGGAAGAAAAAGTTATTTTGAATCAAAACATTTTGACTAGTTTTGAAAAAAAAAATGCTGCTGAAAAATCTGGCCAATTCGAGGTGAATACACACAATCTTTCAATCAGCCCAAATATGCATTTTTCAGCCAAAAAATATTTTTTTTTGTTTTAAAGTCTTCCTGCAGCACTAGTCCTTGTGTGTATTCCCTGCCATGTTCTGTGGTGTGAGGGTAGTACATGAAAGAATAATCAAATCCAGAGTTCCCGGGCTACTGTGTCAGCTAGATTGACCCCAGCATTCAGATGCGCAGTTGCTCGTTAGGGTTGGCAGGTGTTCAGAAAATACCGGACATGTAAAACAAAAGGCCGGCGGGGACTTTCTTCCTGTGCCGCGTCTGGCAGGGGCGGGGAGCGTGTGGAGCGTGGGGATTTAAAGGCACAATGACTTTTTTTTTCTCAACCAATTTTTTTCCTGCCATGTTCAGGATTTTTTGTGCAAGTATCTGGCAGCCCTATTGCTTATATTTTTCTCTGCATAAAGGAAACCACCATATCCGTAAATAAGGGTTGAACCTGAATTTTGTATCTGAGTTTCCCCAATGTTGGGGGCGAGTCTGTAGAATGGCGGGGGCATCAGTCTGACAGGGTGTGTCTCTGTGTTCTTTTAACTAGACCAGCGAGGAAGTGGCTGCTTTGTTAACTGGAGTGAAAATTCCCCACCGACCTGACCGGAATTCTGTCTACAGGCCACGCCCTGGTGGCAATGTGCCTGACTCCATGGACTGGAGGGAGAAAGGATGTGTTACTAATGTCAAAAATCAGGTGAGAGGCTCACCCTGGTCCTAACTGACATGGGTGCCCATTGGCTGCTGCTGAGCGCATCTGTCTGGCTTTTACAGGGGGCCTGTGGCGCTTGCTGGGCGTTTAGTGCTATCGGAGCCCTAGAAGCCCAGGTGAAACTGAAAACTGGAAACCTGGTGTCTCTCAGTGCGCAGAACCTAGTCGACTGCTCCATGATGTACGGGAACCATGGCTGCAGCGGCGGATATATGACCGAAGCTTTCCAGTACATCATTGATAATGATGGCATTGATTCGGACGCTTCCTATCCATACATGGCTCAGGTAGGTGTCTACGTTTACGACAGACACATAGGCAGGGCTGTCCCTACTGACATGCCAAGCATGCAGCTGCGTAAGGCACCACCAAATTTGGGGCAACAAATTGCCACACATTTCATGGTGCCCTTTGCAGCTGAGTGCTGTGTATGGGCTCCAGTAGGCCCCGTTCCCATCCCCTGGCCGAGGCACCCCCTCTCCTGGTGAGGTACAACCATAGGTTGGAGGACTCAGGAGAAGCAGTGGATGGCTGTGCAGCCATCAGCTGGAGAGAAGCAGCCGTTTCCCTTTCAAAGTGCTGCTTCTCTCCTCTGCCCCTGAGCCCTCCCTGTGGACGTGCAGCTTAGCAGGGTCTTAGGCCAGTCTTACCCAGGCTGGGATCCAGCTTCTGGCCTCTCAGGGGAAAGAGAGGAGCAGGGGACTGGGCCTATGGCAAAAACTGGACCTAACTTTGGCAAATATTTTTGGCTCATCGATACCCAGAAACTTTCCCCTTCCCTCAAAATGTCAAAAGGACCCATTTTGACAGTTCTTTCTGAAATTAAATATCAATTCAACATGTTTCACTCGACCCAAATGAATTTTTTCCCATTTTTTGTTTCAGCAAAAAACCTTTAAAAAATTCAATTTTGTTTTGAAATAAACCAACGGATTTGAAAAAAAGTTCTGTAGTTTTCTTTTGTTTTTTCTAGATAAGTCCCTGAACTGAAAAATCAGTTAGTCACTCAGCTCTAATCTTGATGCTCAAAGGCAGGAAGAATGCCCCAGAGCAAGGCTGGGCAATAAGCAAGAGGCAGTTTGCCAGGATTAGCCCCTAGTGGATCGCTGGTGTTTTATTTACCTGTGCATCAGCAGGTACATCCACTTGCCTCTTCCATTGGCCACAAATTGCCATTCCCAGCCAATGGGAGCTGCAGGAAGTGGTACAGACCAGGACACTGCTTCCTGCAGCTCCCATTGGCTGGGGGCAATGGGGGCTGCAGTTCAGGAGCTGCGATCACCTGTACCCGCGGAGGCCCCGGGGCACAAAATG